CAAACGATTTAAACCGGTTCTTATTTTGAAAAAGAAATAAAACCGGTTATTGAAAATAAAACCGGTTCCAACCTCTAGTCCATTGTTTGGTTATAGAATTGGTTATAGTTATGATAGTTATGATATTAATTTTTATACTAATAATATTTGGCATGCGCATAACCCAATTGCTTATTCTCAAATTGATATGCATATTGTTCTACAATTGTATTAACTGTTGAAATGTAATATATATTATTTTTATTCGTTTTATTTTTAATATATAAATATTTAATTTGATTGTAATATTATAAGCATGAAGTTTGTTATTAAACTTTGACTTTCTTAACATTTTTTTACGTATGTATCTATTCATATATGAGTAAGTACAATTCCATAACGAATAATTTTGAAGCATGTCACATTGTTTGAGAATAAATAGAGTATTTTGTTTTTAAATGAGATAATATCAAATCTATTTGTATATGAATGGATACGATTCCAGATTAGCAAACCTATGTAGAAGAGGGAGTCAAGACTTTATTTTTTGAGATGCTATTTAGTCAATAAATCACGCAAAACACCCATCACTTTATCCGCAGAACGATTCACCGAAAATAGTTCATTTTTTAAGGAAAACAATAATAAAATAAATTTGTATACCCATACTTCAGACCTATATTTTTTATACATGTGTATAGCTTTAGTGTGATTATTTTTTAATACAAGATTCTTTGTAAGTGCTGACTTTATTTTCAAAATGAGTTTTTCGTTTCACATTAAATATGTGTATATTTACAGCAAATAAATTGCATGTACCTATTGTGAAAAAAAATTAGTTTACATTTTCTAATAAATACAGAGAGAATTTAATATTTCAATTTAATATTTTTTTTTTAGCATACTGATAGATTACTTTTTTACTATACTACTATATAATTTGCTGTATTTTGTCATAATTAACACATCACGACAAAGTCTATATTACAATGTATTCAGAAGAGTATATAAAGTATATATACCCTCTCAAAAATTCTCTCATATTCATTTTTATAAAACTATAAAAGAAATAACTTCCAATATCGGTGACGCAAAATGAAAAAAATTCTAACCGTACATCCATAAAAGAAATAATGTATAAAGTACATTTGCTTATAATCTGAAAGTTGTACAAACAAAAGAGTCACCATGCTATAAAGCTTCTAGAAGAATCGTTTCAGAATTATCATTGTAGTTGAAACTTTTTACTGATTAATACAAAGTTTCTTTATGAAGTTTGCTTTGATAAAGATCATGTACTGAACCTACCAAGGTCCCTGTGGTGGTTTCTTTATAGCCCGTATTATAATTACTTGGAGGTATTTACAAAGTACTGCAAACTTAAATCAGTGTATCTGAGAATATTTCGTATGCAAGTATGAATATCTATCAAAAGAACAGAAACAATGTGATAGTCTATAAAGATATATAAAATTACTAAAAATTCAAATTTTCATATAAATCTAGTCATTAATAGAATAAAAAATTCTTTATCAATTATTTTAAATTTCAGGAAATTTAGAATGAAAATCACTGAATGAAAAATAGCTTCGTAAATGTAAAAGTTCTATTTTTCATCATATTTAAATAAACTCTTTTGAGAACTCAATTATTATTACGTTTCTATCGTCATATACACGTAAATTAATCAACTCTATGTCTGTTGTTTGATTTAAAGTGGATGATAATTTTTTTGTTTTTAACTCGAAAAGTATCCAGTGCTTGCATTTACTATAGAATATGGTAATCCGTAGATACTAAAGATAAATACGCCGCTTGCACTATAAGCAAGAAAAATGAAGACAAATGCACGACTACGCTGAATCAAGATTCAACTCAATATTGGTTTGTAAGTATGGACAAGATTAAAATCGGGTTACGAGAAATAGTAATTAATATGTTACGAACTTGAATTTTAACAATTTACTAAACTTTTAATTGCGATAATTGAGCGAATGTGATTACAATTTCAATCTAGTTATAAAGTATTTAATGCAATAAAAATAAAAACAAGAAAAAAGAATATGCATATCAAAGAAAGACAAACAGCTGAAGATCTCGTTCGAAAAGGACTTAATAAACAAAATCAATTTACAGTAGAGTAGGTAAATACTGAAATACATAAACTTTATTATTATATTCATAATAATTATTTACGATTTGCTCCATTTTTTTTTTTTTTTTTACAATTTTAATAAATATGTTAGTATTTAGCTTAGCTAATTTTACATAATTAATATATTACTCCTTTTGTGTTAATCTCTATTATCTATTGGATTCGGGTCAGTATTTCAACTAAAGTTTTTCGGATTTTAATAAAAGTTAACTCAGAATTGAACTTTATATGGTAAATGTGTTATATCCGATCCGAATTTAGTGATTGTACTACTACTTAAAATAATTTTTACTTAAATTTTTATTTATGAATTTGTTGCATTTAGTTTAATAATCGATATAGTATTTTACCGATCAAAATAGTCAAAATCGCTAAACCATTATGTCAACACGACAATCTAAATAGATCACTTGCCATAATGTCCTCTATTATTTTCAAAATAGAATGGTTTTTGGTTAGCCGCAGTAATTGCGCAACGAAATGGTTTAACAAGCGCCAATGTTGAGGTAATACATGACATGTAAATTATTTTTTTAAATAATTATTGCATCATTTTTAATCTAACATTAATTTAAACATAACGAAATGAACGTAAAAATGTTATGCAATATTCACATGATAATCGATTCCTTTATAAGTCGATCACTAAAAAAAATAATACTAAAAAGTGCGTAATGGACCCTAAGTATACACAGCCTATAAACTAATCTGATTAGGTTTATTATTATTATAATTGTGGCTTTTTGACACTATCAGTGTTCCAAAGTTAATATAAATAACTTTCTCAAATGATTTTATTGTTCCTTGATATCTTTTTTAAAAAATGTCATTAAATATCTTGCAGGACGATTATGAGTGTTTATTTAAAAATGACCAATGTTATGACGTTATTATTTGTGCCGATGAAAATCAAAACGTTAAAGAACTACATGCACATTCAAATATTTTACGTTGCAGGTCACAATATTTTTATGATGAATTATCTAAAAAAGATGTCGAGAAGAGGGAAGGAAAATTTATTTTAAAAATACCCAACATTCCTCCACATCTTTTTAAAATTATTTTAAGGTAAATAAATAACTTGAATAAGTATGTACGACAATTACGACAATAACAAAAATATCCTTTCTTTGAATTTCAGATTTATATATTGCGGAAGGATTGACATGACGAAATTAGACAAAATTAATATATTAAAGCTCTTAAACGCAGTAAGCGTACTTAATCTCCAATCTTTAATTCCCGAAATAGAAAATTATTTAATTAAAAACCATTACGAGTTTTTACAAAGCTATCCCTTGGAAATTCTTGAAACAATTTATCAACAAAATTCCTTCACGAAATTGCGGAATTTTTATTTTGAAAAGGTTTGTGACGACCCCGAAGAGCTTTTTAATTCTGATAAATTATTCAAAATAAAAGCACCTTTATTAGAATTCCTTTTAAAACGGGATGATTTAAGTCTGGATGAAATTGTAATTTGGGATAATTTAATTAGATGGGGTTTGGCTCAGAACCCGTCTATACCTAAAGACGTTAAAAAATGGAGCAAGGAAGATACTACAGTTATGGAAAGAACTCTTCACAGATATATCCCTTTAGTTAGATTTCATCATATTTCTTCAGAAGTTTTTCTTGAAAAAGTACTTCCTTTTAAAGAATTACTTTCGAATGATTTGGTTGTTAACATCTTAGCATATGGTTTGGCTCGAGATAAGAAATTATATAATAATAACATAAAACTACCTAGAAAGTCAAAATATGGTTCAATCCTTGTTAAATCTCGTCATTTTGATACATTTTCCAGTTGGATTGGTAAGAAAGCCAATAAGACATCTTATGGTTTTAATTTACTATATCGTGCCAGTAGAGATGGGAATACATCTTTAGCATTTCATCAAAAATGTGATAACAAAGGGGCCAATATCGTCGTAGTAAAAATTAAAGGAACTGAACAAATAGTTGGAGGATTTAATCCATTTGGGTGGGAAGGAAATGATTATAAATTTACTAAGGATAGTTTTATATTCTCATTCGTAGATAGAACGAACCTTCAAACTGCAAAAGTAGGTCATGTTAAGGATGATCATGCTAGATATGCTGTGTATTGTTATCATGTTAATGGTCCAGTATTTGGTAGTATTAAAAGTAATGATATTTGTTTTTATAATAATTATTGGTATGCTATAAACCCATCTGCCTATTCTCAAATAGATATTCCAAAAGGTCAATTTCAAGCAGATGATTATGAGGTATTTCAAGTTAATAAAGGTTGAGTATAATGCTTTTATAGTAAATACGCATCTGGGGTATAAAATCAACAATTTAAATCAAAATTTATGTTAAATATAATAAAAGAGATTTTTTTGATGATAATTCAGTTGCTAAGTTTATAAAGTCATGCATAAAGAGAATAATTAATTTTATTCTAGGAAAATATTTATTAAATTATTGGTCTTCTTCTTTAGTTTATTTTGTTAGTATTTAGTAAAGGTATAACTACGTTATTTTTTTGAAATCAAGTTGCACAAAACTTGCCATTTTTGTTTCTCAAACTTTTTTATACCTGAATTTATCAACATTTTCAGATTATGCCAACGGAAAACCCAGTTTATAATTGTTTTAAATCTTATTTGGATTAATCTTTATTGTCATAATTATTAAACAGTTCTTCTACTTGTTGCTAATGGATTATTATAGTTTTTTTTACAAAGTTAAAATAGTGAATATATGCAAAAGAATTATATTCTGACCTTGTTTATATCAGATACTTCAGTCTGAAATGTTGTATATATCAAAGATAAGCATAAACTAGCAATCCAAAATTCTGGACTTTCATTTGGCGTAACTAAAAAAATATTGTAAAAGACGTTACAAAACGTTTCTGAAGTGCAAAAAGACAAAAAGAAACAAGTTTTTAATAAAAAAAATGTTCATTCATTGGATATCTTATCATTAATCTGATCTATCCGTAATTAATTCACTTATCGGATATGATTGTATAAAGATATTTTGCTAAAATAATTACATTTTTTTAAATCAAATTGATCTAATACTTACTTTCTGATTATAGTAGTGGTTCTGCCAGTATTAGATGCCTATTTTTAAGTAAAAAAAAATTGATCCTAAAAATAAAAATGGATTCATGTTAAAAAAGCAATAAAGTATTAATGAGGTATTAAAACCCATCAGTTGGCTGGTCTAAATATTCTTGAAAATATCATATACTAAAGTGGATCTTGAAACCAATTGTGAAATGGTTCTAATAATAATCCAGCAGATAGGTTATAAGAGTACTCAAACATAAGTTATAGGATTTATATTTTAAACTTTATAATATATAATAATTTTTAAAGAATTTTAAAAGCAATAAAAATAAATACTCTTATCTAAATAATACATTTACTTATAGTAATAAAGCTAATATCTTATTTATACTAAAAATTAGTCTGATCTTGTTCAGTCTAATCTAAAAAGACCAGTCTTTTTTTTTAATTTAAACTGGATTAGTTATATATAAGTCTAAGGACTAGTTTTGTAAACCAGTCTAAAGATCAGTTTATAATCAATCTATTATTATCTGATAGGATAAAAATAAACTTAGATGATTTAATTCAATACTTCAAATTAATTTTAATTATTTTATTACAATTATGCTTATATGAAAGAATAGCAATAGGAATAGTAAAAGAATAACAAATTTATTTATTAAACTCTTTGTTTATTCACAAAATCCTATTTTGAGTTATCTTTACCTTAAGTAAAAATAACCTAAAAATTTAAAAACTATTTCAAAACCTTTAAAATAACTTTTATTTAAATCTAAAACTTGATGAAACTTAATTAAGTTTAGAAAAACCTATTAGAAGTTTAGGTAAAGATGTTTATTATAAATAAATAGTTTTATCTAAATATCTCAAAATTCAAATTTTCTAAAAATACTTTAGAAAGGCATCTTTAATCTCAATAAAAAATACATGCAATTTATTAAAATAAAATAATAATAAGATAATAAGATAAATATATTTAATATATTTAATATAATATATATATTAAATATAATTAATAAAATAAATATAATAAATATAATAAAACTATTAATATTATCTTAGTTATTCATTATATTAATTATAATGAATTAATCAACAATTTATACTTGTTTAATCTGATATATTTGACAGATTTGTCTAATAATATATAATTAATTGCAATACAGATTATGGTTTATTTATCTAAATTAATCCAAAATTTTTATTCTTTTCAGTTTAAAACTAGTTTAAAGACTAGTTTTGAATTAGTTATCTAAACTGATCTAATTAGTCTTGATCTAGATGAATTTGCTGAAAATGAACTATATTTTAGTATAGTTTATAATTTAAATGAATTATTTAATAAAAAATTGTAATTGTCGACAAGACTTAAAAAGTAAAAAAATCCATATATCTTCTATGAAAAGTAGCATTTAAAAAAATTTGAAAGATACGTTTTTTAAATAAAATTCAGTTGGACTTATTTTTAAAAGCACAACTTATGTCTTTTGAAATGACTAATGAACAAACTAAAAATCCTTAAAGAGTATCATACAAATATAATTTTAACAATTCTTTTTCTTTTTACAAACCCACTTATCTAATATTAATTGGAAAATCTGAATATTATTTATCAATGATACAAAAACATATATATGAAAATAGTTTAATACAATGTACTTATGGTAATACTAGTCATGCATCTATACTTCTATAATATGCTTATATCAATATAGATATTTCTTTTCAGTAAAAAATTATTTATTATAATATAATAATATTTATGATTTACTATCATTCATACATTATCAGAATAATTTAGAAATATTTGTTTATTTATTAACTGATAAAACATATAAAAAAATATTGAATATAATCAAGATCAAAAAGTTATTTCTTATAATGTTTTCATCAAACTTTGGCACTAACTAGTATTACATATAAAACTTCAACCATCAGCGTGACTTATGTGAAACCTGTAAATCTTAATTAAAAATAACAAAATATAATATAAATGAATTTAATAATATTAAAATCAATATGATACACATTATAAAGTAGCAAATCTAGAATAAGAATACTATAATAAAATATTAATGAAAGTAAATTTGATAAGTTTATAAAATATATTTATTACAATTTGACATAAAATGTGTCTATATCATATTTACCATAACAAATTGGTAGTATATATTTTAAAAATACATTTTCTTTTTATATTTTTAGTGTATATAAAAATGAAGAAGATCAAATTGTAAAAAATGAATTTTCTAAAGATATATCAAAAGGGGCTAATACTATTTTAAATATGATATAATGCTTTTTAAAAATTTGCTCGTATAGAAAAAAAATATTTAAGAATTACCTGTGATAATTGTACAGCTCAAAATAAAAATAATTTATCTTTATAATTTTATGCATAGTTAGTTAAGTTAGGATGATATAACGAGATTATTATAAATATTATGATTTTAGATCACACAAAATTTATTGCAATGCATTTATTGGACAAAAAGTATATAGAGATACATGAAAAAATACTATCAATGACATTGAGAGAGATGTAAATTGTTCTTTCAAAAAAAATGAAGCAAATCTTTATAAGAATGGATAGACTATAATTTTAAAGTATTTTTTAAAGAAAATTTTATACTACTTTCTAATATAAAAATATATTACCATTTTCATTTTAGTAATCAACCTGATGATATTGGCAAAATTTTTGCTTCAAAAGAATCTGGAGAAGAAAAAACTCCTTTTTTACTATTTCGCAATAGTAGAATTAATAAAAAATGATTAAATAGGTATTATTCCTATTTCTCCATTAACAAATAATAGAAAAAAATATCTTTATTTAAATATTCGTAAACATGTAAACAATTTATTTAAAGATGTTCATTTTTTTAAACTGATATTACAATAGATAGACATTAAATTAATGAAATTTATAAAAAAAATAATTTGAAAATATGAGACAAAAAGAATATTAAAGTGGTATAAAAAAAGGAAATAAAATTAAATAATAATGTATAAAGGAAGAAAAAATATAAAAGAAATGAAAATATTATAAATAAAAGAAGAAAAATAGCAAAATAAGAAAGGAAAAACAAACAAATAAAATAAAAAGAAAAAGAAAAAAGAAGGAAAAATGGAAAAAAAAGAAAGAATGGAAAGATTAGTATATATAAAATAATAAGAAAAAAAAAAATATATATATAAAAAAATAGAATGAAAGAAAAAAGTTAATATAAATGAATGAATTGAATAAAAGAAAAGGACGAAAAGAAAGAATAAAAGAAAGAATATAAAGAAAAGATTAATACAACTAAATTAATTGAAGGAGAAAAATAAAAAAAGATGAATGATAATAATAGAAAGGATGAAAGAAGAAAAAAAAGGTTATACAAACATATGAATTAAAGGATAATAGAAAAAAATGAAAAGTAGAAAAGGGAATAACAAATAAGGGAATGAACTAAAACTAAAAGATGAATGAAACGAACAGAATAGGAGAATAGAATAAAAAGAAAAGGGAATAATTAGTAAATATCAAAAAAAAATGACAAAAAAATAAACAAAGGAAAAAATAAACCAACTTATTAATCCTAAAAATAAAAATGAAGTAAATATCTAAAACTATTTATAATTAATTCTATTTAAAATAAGTTTTTAATATTAAAATCAAAATTGTTAATTAGAAATAAAAGAATGAATGAACTATAGGAAAATAGAAAGAGAAAGACAAATGAGAGGATAAAATAATAAATCAATTTAAAAATATAAAAGAAAGGAAAGAAATGAACAAACTAATTAAAGATATAAAGGAATAAATCAAAGAAAAGAAAGAGAAAATAATGAAAAAATGAATGAAATGGAAGAAGTAACGTAAAACCTGAATTTGCTACTAGTTTTTTTATTTTGCAAATAGTTCTTTCTTCTTATCATTTAGCATGGTAATCATCACAAATTTAAATTTTTGGGTGTCAACTATACATGAAGTCAAAATGAAAACCCAAAAGTCAAAATGTTTTGACTTTGGTTATCAAAGTCAAAATGAAAAATCAAAATCGTTAAAATTACGTCATATCACATGATTTTTTATATATTAAAAAATAAAAAAGATGTAAGATCTTAGTCAATATCATACTGATTCATATGCAATAAATACTATTCGATTCCTTGTGACTAGACGAATTTAATAAGCTAATATTCATTGATTTTGAATCAGCACATCTCTAGATATTTGCGATCGAATTTTGAAATACAGACTCCTTTATTTAAAGTATAATTTAGATACAATTGCAATTATCTCGAGATTGGATAATCCGAAATCAATAAATGTTAGCACATTGGATTTGACTAATTATTAGAAATCAAATGGTATTTGTTTCATACGAATTCGTGCGATATTGCTTGAGATTATACATCTTTTGTTTTTTTATATTTTTCTATATATAAAAAATCATGTGATATGATGTCATTTCGACCATTTCAATACTTTTGAATATCTAAAATGATTTATTTTGACTTTATGTATAGTCTCAATTTCGTATTTTCAGCATCTAAAAAAAAAGAAGATTAATAATATCAAAAAATAAAAAAATGAATAAGAAATAAACAAATTAAAGTGAATGAAAGGGAATGAACAAATGAGTAGAATGAGAAAATAATAATAAAGGAATATAAAAGATAAAAAGGAGGTAAGAAAATAATTAAGGAACGAGTAAAATAAATAGGAAGAAAATAAATATAAAGAAAAGAGATGAGTTAAAATGAGAGATAAATAAAAAACAAAAAAAAACAGAGGATACTTACTTTTCAAAATAAATCACATTGTTATAGGAAAAGAAAAAGTACCTTTTAATTTTTTTTTATTTAAGTCGATGACAATAAAAAGTGATTATTACATAATGATTTATTGGCTAATAAGGTTTATGTGTGACTTTAATATGCAGCTAAATCATTTCTTATTTTAAAAATAAAAGATTTACTATGTGATATTGGTAGAAATCAAAACCTATTTCCAGAGTTATAGATAAAAAATTTTTTTAATTAATCATTAAGTCTCAAATTCAGATGATGATTTGATAAAACATATATATTTTAAATTTATTATTAGAATTTTTATTAATAAAAATTTAAAGTTCAAGTGTTCGTTTTGGTATTATAATTTTATGGTATGATTTTTTAGCCAAATGAAGTTCATATGTAACATATTGAAATAAAATTAAAATCTCAATTTTTATTAGATTGGTCTTAGAATGTGATTTTGTTAATAACTAACCCATATTATTAATTTACTTCATGAATTAAAAATCTTAAAATAAATTGAATATTGATTTTCCTTATTAACTGATAAGCTTAATTGCATAT